ATGTTGCAATCCTCGCCTTTGTGCTGCCGCCTGCTGGAAGAGTTCATTAAAGCAAGGAAGGCAGGGTACGTCTAGGAAATGGTTATGGCACTCCGTTAGATGAAAAGTGAGGATGCCACATGTACTCAAGACCAAGCTGGGCACAGTGGTTTATGCCTGTAATCCCAACACTTTGGGAGGCCAAGGCAGGTGGATCACGAGGTCAGGAGATCGAGACCATCCTGGCCAAGATGGTGAAACCCTGTCTCAACTAAAAATACAAAAATTAGCCAGGTGTGGTGGTGTGCACCTATAGTCCCAGCTACTTAGGAGCAGTGAGCCAAGATCACACCACTGCACTCCAGACTGGGCAATAGAGAGAGACTCCATCTCAAAAAACAAACAAACAAACAAAAAAAAACCGACCTAAGCACATTTCTCCACATTTTTTCAACCGAGATCATGCAACTGGATCTTCATTCTCTGAAAGGAATACTAAGGGAAAAGTTTTCCAGAGAGAGCAACCGGGATTGTGCTGTGGGGCAGAACCAGAGGTAGAACAGAATGTGCTGCACTGCCCAGACCTGTTTGGGAAAAGCTAGTGATGGCCCTGCTTCTTCCCTTCTACCAAGAGCAGCCATGCATGTGGCCATACTGCCCTTTGATCCTCGACCCACCTGTCTGGCCGGCTGCAGCCAGCTGGCTCTATCTGCCAAGGAATTCCAGCCAGGAACACAGTTTACTCTCATCTGGCATTTCTCAACGCAAGTTTCACTACGAGGTTGCATTTGAACCTTCTCCTAGGGACTGCACTACCTTCCAAAAGAAGTCAGGACTCTGGGCTGTTCAAAACTTCTTCCCTAGCCTCTATAGGATATGTTTCAGATTTGTGTAGGATCATGGATATACATAGCCATCGCTCAGGTAACTCGTCCAACTCTTGGGACAGTTTCAGCTTCTATTTCGTTTTATTTACTTAATTTTTGAGACAGAATTTCACCCGTCTCAAAAAATTAAGTGCAATGGCACAATCACTGCAACCTCTGCCTCCCTTTAAAGTGATTCTCCTGCCTCAGCCTCCCAAGTAGCTGGGATTACAGGTGCCTGCCACCACACTCAGCTAATTTTTGTATTTTTAGTAGAGACAGCGTTTCACCATGTTGGCCAGGATGGTCTAGAGCTCTTGACCTCGTGATCCACCCACCTTGGCCTCCCTAAGTGCTGGGATTACAGGCATGAGCCACCGTGTCTGGCCAATTTTAAATTTTTTAAATTATAAATTGACAAATTATAATTATATACATTTATGAGATACAAAGTAATGTTATGCTATGTGTATACAGTGCGGACTGATTAAATCAAGCTATTTAACCTATCCAGTACCTCGAATGCTTTTTTTTTTCTTTTTTGAGATGGGGTCTCACTCTGTCACCCAGGCTGGAATGCAGTGATGTGAACAGAGTTCCTTGTAGCCTCACCTCATTGGGTCAAACAATCCTCTTGCCTCAGCCTCCCTCGTAGGTGGGATATAGGCACGTACCACTGCCCCCGCTTGTTTTTTATTTTGTAGAGACAGGGTCTTGCCATGTTGCCCAGGTTTACGTATCCGTTTTTGTGGTGAGAATATTTGAATTTTATTCTCAGCAATTTTGTGTATTTTTCTGGTTTTTTCTTTAAATTTTTTTTTGACAGAGTTTTACTCTTGTCACCCAGGCTGGAGTGCAATGGCGGGATCTTGGTTCACTGCAACCTCAACCTCCCAGGTTCAAGTCATTCTCCTGTCTCACCCTCCTGACTAGATGGGAGTACAGGTGCATGCCACCACACTGGCTAATTTTTGTATTTTTAGTAGAGACAGGGTTTCATCATATTGGTCAGACTCATCTCGCACTCTTGACTTCAGGTCATCTGCCCGCCTGGCCTTCCAAAGTGCTGGGATTACAGGCATGAGCCATTGTGCCTGGCCTGCAAAATGTATTTCTTATGTGAGTTGTGGCTAAAACATTTTAGAGACATTTTTCTAAATTAATGGTCTTCAAAATTTTGTTTGCATGAGTTTATCATTTTTAGTTGCAAAGAATTTCATATGAATTGTAAACATTAGCATATTAAATAAAACTTTTAAAAGTATTTTTATGTAGTGATTTCTATGTCATAATTCATTAAAAAAATACTTAAGTCAGGCACAGTGGCTCTTGCCTGTAATCCTAGCACTTTGGGAGCTAAGGTAGGCATATCTCCCCATCTAGGAGTTTGAGACTAGCCTGGGCAACATGGGGAAACCCCATCTCTTCAAAAAATGGAAAAATTAGCCAGGTGTGGTAGTGCACATCTGCAGTCCCAGCTACTTGGGAGGCTGAGGTGTGCAGAGCAACTGACCCTGGGGAGGTTGAGGCAGCAGTGAGCTGTGATTATGCCACAGCACTCCAGCCTGGGCAATAGAGCAAACCTTGTCTCAAAAAAGCAAAAAAATATGAACAAATTTTTTTTTCTTTTCTTCTTTTTTGAAGTAGGGCCTTGCTCTGTTGCTCAGGCTAGAGGGCAGTGGTGCAATTATAGCTTGACCCGTTTGGGCTTAGGTAATCCTCCCAAATAGCTGGGACTAAAGGTGTGCGCCATAACACCCAGCTAATATTTTGTTTTTTGTAGAGATGAGGGTCTTGCTATATTTCCCAGGCTGGTCTCTAACTCCTGGGCTCAAGCAGCCTTCCTGCCTCGGCCTCCCAAAGTGCTGGGATTACAGTCATGAGCCACTATGTCTGGCTGGCAATATAATTATTAGTATACAATTAATCAAACGTAGTATATATATTGATAAACATAAAAATCAAAATTTTATTGAAGGTGTAATTTTTTTTTTTTTTTTGACGGAGTTTTGGTCTTGTTGCCCAGTCTGGAGTGCAATGGCACGATCTCAGCTCACCACAACCTCCGCCTCCTGGGCTCAAGCAATTCTCCTGCCTCAGCCTCCCGAGAAGCTGGGATTACAGGTATGTGCCACACACCCAGCTAATTTTGTATTTTTAGTAGAGATAGGGTTTCTCTATGTTGGTCAAGACAGTCTTGAACTCCCGACCTCAGGTGATCCACCCACCTCAGCCTCCCAAAGTGTTAGGATTACAGGTGTGAGCCACCGTGCCCAGCTGAAGGTATAATTTTTAATGGGACTGAGCATTTATTTTGTTCAATTAATTAATATGTTCATTAATGAATATTGTTATTGCTAGAATGAGAGATTTAGCATCAACTGTTACTATTTTTCATTTTCTTTAAGAGACTTGTTCTCACCATGTTGCTTTGCAGTAACGTTGCCCAGGCTTGCCTCTAACTCTTGGGACTCAAGATCCTCTCACTTCACCTGTCCCAAATATCTGGGACAGGCATACATCACCACATCCAGCATATTTCATTTTTACAAATGTAAGAGCTGACAACTTTTGTTTACATAAATTAGCATTTCCCCACCCATGATTTACTGAAGCAATGGAACTCAATTCTTTGAACCCCTTTAAAATTCTACGTCAGGGCCGGGCACAGTGGCTCACAGCTGTAATCCCAACACTTTGGGAGGCCAAGGCTGGCAGATTACCTGAGGTCAGGAGTTCGAGCCCGGCCTGGCCAACATGGTGAAACCCCATCTCTACTGAAAATACAAAAAATTAGCTGGGCATGGTGGCAGGTGCCTATAATTCCAGCTACTCAGGAGGTTGAGGCAGGAGAATCCCTTGAATCCAGGAGATGGAGGTTGCAGTGAGCCAAGACCACGCCATTACACTCCAGCCTGGGGAACAAGAGTGAGGCTCCATCTTAAAAAAAAAAAAAAAAAAGAAAAAAGAAAAAAATTAAGTGCCAAGCTAGCACAGTGACATGAACTAGCAGTACCAGCTACTTGGGAGGCTGAGGTTGGAGGATCCTTTGAGCCCAGGAGTACAAGTCCAGCCTGGGTAACAGAGTGAAACCAGGTGACTTAAAAAAAAAAAATGTAGGTGCCACTCAGGGTTCAATCCCCAGACCACCGGCATTTGAAAGCAATGTGACATACGTGTTTCATATTGCTGGGGTCATCAAATCCATTTAGTATGAAACCAATAGCATGAAAAAAAAACAAAACAATACAAAGTCCAGAATGTTTCACAAATCTTTTGCTTCAATTAGAAATCACGTGTATACTGGGTCATTGTAAAATGTATTTCTCTGACAACTCAGTTAGGTCCTTCTTTAATTTTGTTGAAAACAAGTCATTAGAACCAATTGAGAAATCAGTACCTACATATTTTCCATGGCGTCCAGTGGCCTAGAGGTTCCTACACTATCCGTGGATACATCAAGTAAGATTAGACAGGATTGGCGAGGGATGCGTTGATCTTGTGTAAAGCGGAAGAAGAGTGTATCGTTAGGCAATTTTTTTTTTGAGGCGGAGTTGCGCTCTCGTTGCCCAGGCTGGAGTGAAACGGCGCAATCTCGGCTCACCGAAACCTCCGTCTCCCGGGTTCAAGCGATTCTCCTGCCTCAGCCTCCCGAGTAGCTGGGATTACAGACATGAACCACCACTCCCGGCTATTTTTGTATTTTTAGTAGAGACGGGGTTTCTCCAAGTTGGTCAGGTTGGTTTAGAAGTCCTAACCTCAGGTGATACGCCCACCTCGGCCTCCCAAAGTTCTAGGATTACAGGCGTGAGTCACCGCGCCCTGCCCGTTAGGGCAACTTTTTAGGATATAGAATAAACACTGGTGTCCTGAAAACGTTTCTGGCTGCAACATTTTGAGAAATTTGCATTCTCGAGTTTGGAGACCACGGCTTTTAAAGACTCCACTCACTGCAGTGATGCCAGCAACCAGCTACTGTCGGTGACTTCGAAAGTTCGTACTTTCAGTCCACACTTCTTCCATTCGTTGGGCACCACACTTGCCTACACTCGGAGTGCCCCGGCACCCCCCACCCCCCCGTCCCGGGCTTCGCTTTCCGCCCTTTACACTTGGAAGCCACGAGCCGCTTCTGGTGCCCACGCTGCTCCTCGGCTGCCCCGCCTGGGTCCTCCATCCTCGCCCCTGGAATCGGCCTCCCTAATTCCCTTCCCTCTGAAGGTCATTTGGAAACGGGCTCGAAGGGGCGACACTGCGTAGAAAACCAAATTCCATCCGCGGCGGACAGGGAGTGCTAGTCTCGAAGGAAGACGTAACCCCCGGTTGGTAGTGAGGAGCGTCTGCGGCACAGCCAGCGCTCTCGAGGATACTCTGCGCGGGGATAGCCTGTCGTAGCTATCAGGGATAGCCGGATACGTCGCGTCAGTCTCCGACTCGAAGGGTGGTCCTCGAGGAAATCCCACTAACCATCCAGCTTCCTCCGCCTTCCCCCATCCAGGCCCGCAGCCAGGGCAGGCGTGGAGGCCCCGCCCACCTCTGCCTGCGCGCCTGACCTTAAGGCGGGCGTGGAGTTGGGCTTTCTCAGGCAGACGGTGGACCCACCGCGGGCCTTTCCTGTTTGAAAATTACAGCATCACACAGCAACTCGCGCGAGACGAAGGGACTTCTCGCGATAAGTCCAGGGGTGGCCGTGATGGCGGCGGCGGGAGCAGGACCCAGCCCGGAAGCGGGTGCCGGGCCTGGCCCTGGAGCGGCCGCAAATGCAGCAGCCTCAGAAGAGGGGGAGACGAAGCCGATGGCAGCGGGAGCAGCCGCTCCTGGAGGAGAGGGGACCTCTGCTGCTCCGACAGCTGAGCCCAGTTCAGGGGAGGCTGAAAGCGGGTAAGAGGTCCTGGGGCCGAGGAGGACGCGGGAAGGAGGCCCGCCCCTCGCGAATCCTGCGGCTCCTGGAGCCGCGCCGCCCGCCCCCTGCTAGCCTAGGCCCCGCCGCCAACGGCTCGCCCTGCCCCTGCGCTGCTTGGCCCGTCCCCTCTCTCATATATCTCGGATAACGCCCCGTCCGCACCTTTCTCGGGCGGTGGGGGCCGAGGATCCTGTCGTTATCTCTTGAGTCTTGCATTCCGGCAGGAAGCTGGTAGCCCACTCTTCTAACGGGAGCTCTTCACATATCCCAGAAAAGAAACCACTTTGCAGTGCCAGACTGGAAGAAGTAACAGTCACTCTGAAAACAGGGTGGGAGAGCTGCCTCTCTTTGAACCTCTCCCAGGATCAACTCTAACCCAGGTAGATTTGTCTGTAAAGGTCGATTAGGCTTCCCTCTGCTCCCTAACAGTACCTTGGGCATCCAGTCTGAGAACAGGCTTAGCTGAAAAAGCTGCAGGAGTGTGAAGTTCGGTTGTAATTTGATCATCATCTTTGGGAATGGGCTTTTTGAGGTTTGTTTCTCTTGAAAATTTTTACTTGAGCGCTTTCATTGTCTTATAGGGATGCAAACTTGGTCGATGTAAGTGGTGGCTTGGAGACAGAATCATCTAATGGAAAAGATACAATAGTAAGTATTTCTTTTTAGTTGTTTGCAAGGCAAAACCATTGCTTTTAAATTTTTGAGCTAATCAAAAACATAGGGCCGGGCATGGTGGCTCACGCCTGTAATCCCAACATTTTGGGAGGCCGAGGCAGGCGGATCACCTGAGGTCAGGAATTGGAGACCAGCCTGACCAACATGGAGAAAACCCTCTCAACTAAAAAAAAATTAGTTGGGCCTGGTGGCCGGTGTTTGAATCGCTTGAAGCCGGAAGGCAGAGGTTGCAGTGAGCCGAGAACGCGCCATTGCACTCCAGCCTGCGCAACAAAAGCGAAACTCTGTCTC